AAAAACCCCCCCCCCCCCACACACACACACACAAAATGAGCCTTTTCTTGTAGTGGAGTAAGAAATCAATAGATTCTTATGAGTAATATTAACCCCATCAACCAATAAATCAGATAAATTAATTAGTTAATTCAAGTAAAAAATACAATAAGATTGCTAGATAGTCCATAACCCTAGATCGTTTTCATTGAATTGATAACGTAAAAATCAACTCGGCCTCTGTTCATAGTTTCCTATTTATTTTTCTTTTATTTAATTACTCCGTTTAGAATCAAACCTTCTCGGTTTAATTCTTGTTTAGATTATTAAGATAGTTTAATTTAGTTAATAGTTAATCACAATATGGATTCGATATTCAATTTTTAGTCACTTTATTACTTGACGATGCATATATTTGCGTTTGCGTTTGACTGCAACATAGACACAGTACGTAGTTTATAGTCTCTCCTAAAAATGCCGAACTTTATTTCATTCTTTAGTGGGACTCAACAAAGATCATGACTAGGTCCTTGACACTCTTTTTGATTCGGCAAATCCTTGATTGTGATCTATGCGTTGTTAGTGATGGTAATCCTAGGTTTAGAGGACAATGCACATGCCAATTTCGAGAAGCCAAATTCATTGGCTAAGCATGCATAGGACCTAAATGTAATTTGACACTAAATAATCTCTCAAATTTGATAAAATGATGTGATCTTTTAGGATTATCTCACGTCTAGATCTTATGACTGACATAATTATATTATAACTTTGTTGTAATTGAATGGGAATAATGGTCTCATTGGCTAAGTATGATCTTAAGACTAGATCTTCTATAGGATTAATAGTCTTATCAAGATTAAATAGAAATCTCTCCTATGTGCTCAGTTTGACTAATCTCCCATATGCTTGGGCAAAACTTAAATCCTCACTATAAATAATATTTTAACAAATTAAGATCTTTCTACTACTCCTTTCATGTCATCTGCGACAGATTAAGGTCGAGGCCTAATTTTCCGTAAGGCCCGTGTAGCCATAAATGTTTTTTACTTTTTTCGGAATGAGTTTTTGGCCATTTCAAATTTCACTTAAAGTTAAATTTTGAAATTTTTCGAAAATTTAACACACTCCAAAAAGTTGTTTTTGAAATTTTTTACTTCAAATCATTCACAAAAATTCAAAAACAGTTCCATATTGTATTCATATCCAAATATAACTCTAATTTACAAATACCATTTTTTTATTTGAATTTTTTTTTTAACTTTTTTTTGGAATTTTACAATTCTTATGTTCAGACGACCACTTTATAATAATTTGTGGGCGAATGTTCTTACTTTATTTTAGGCAGGGGATAAGATTCTTACATTAAGACAATATGAACAGATGTACAATGTTCTTTATAAACACAACAATTATCGTTAGCATTCCTACAAAAAAGGAACAATAATAATATGATAAAAGAAATATATGTAGAAGATCTTCTAAATCAATTCGTTTAACTCTTCTCTAGTAGATAGTGCTTTCCAGACATTTTATATAAATGTTTCTTTAGCAATATACATGCAGTTGAACCATAAAATATTTTATCACATGTTACCGTAGCACCTTCCTTTTCCAACGCCTTCAGATTTTGTAAAAGATTTTTATTCTACTAATGATTAGTTTGTAATTGGATAATGATTAGTTTAGTTAAGTTTGATTTAGATCTTGGGAAGACTATGGCATGCCTTACTTAATAAATTACTGTCAATAGAATCTATTATATATGGTTTCGAAAATTAATTTGGATGAAATAAGAGATATATTCTGGATGGTTGGAACCAAAAGCTGTGTAAAAGCAATTAGAAGAATTTGTTTGGTTGGAGGGATTATTAAGTATAATCATTGTAGAGAAATCCCGTATTATACATTCCTTTTTTATTTTGCTGCTTTACATTTCTGATATAAGAATTATCCGAATAACTTAGACCTCAATTGGGTATTATGGAAAAATTAGGTGTTATATTAGGCTTGATACAACATGTGATAGGTAATTTCAGTACTAGCAATATGAGTAATATTAATTTATGTATAAATAATGTTTACATTATAATATAGTGCATGTATATATGACTAGCTCATTAGCCAAAATGATCCGTGGGGTTGTTTGACTAACTGTTGAGTTATGCGGCCATTATAACGAAATACTTATTTATGAGGTGAATAATAATGTAATTTTTCCATTTTTTTTTTCGTGAAATCGACCAAATTCAGTTGTTTTGTTTTGCACCAAAACGTGAAAAAAATATTTTTTTTTTCGACTCATCCGGTCGGTATAGTTTAGTTTTTAAGAAATCGCCCAACTTAAGTCGGTTTTTCATTTAAAATTAATATTCAGAAAATCGTTCAATTTTTTGGTCAACTAATCGACCAATTTCGGTCCGTAATTTTATTTTTTAATAAAATTGAATGAACCGGTCGGTTATTTTCGTACAAAAATGCGATTAATAATAAGTATAAATAAAAAAAATTAAAGTTTTAAACCAACAAGCACCAACGGTCTAGTGGTAGAATAGTTTCATGCCATAGTACAAACCTTGGTTCGATTCTTAGATAGTGTATTTTTTAATTGCATAAATTTAAAACATTGATCAATTTTGGTCATTTTTTTGCTTCGTACTAGAATTTTTCTGGCCCGCCCAATTCAGCCGATTTTTGGTTGGTAATAATTAAGAACTAAACCGCATTCGCTCTTTTTTTGGTTGAAAAGAAACTATTTTTTAGTAGTGTATATGAGTAAATATTATGCATTGAATTATTATGTAGGGATTTCCTAATCTAAGGACATCATTATTTTTAATAAACTTGTCCATATGTTGCTGATACTCATATGCTTGTTTCACATTTTATCACATATAAATTAATACATAAATTTTCACACATTATATTAGTATTACTTATAAGAGACAACCTTACTCCCTATGTCCTAATTTGTTTGATGCATTTCAAATTTTGAGAGTTGAACTTTTCAATTTTGATCGCGAATTCAGATATATAATTTTAAGTTATTTTTTAAATAAAATTTATTTATTTGAAAACCATATAAAAAAAATTACAATTTATAATAAGTAATAATAAAAAAATATTTAAAAGGCATATAAAAAACTCATAATCAAAGCAAAATTTGTTTAACTTTCGAAATTCGAAATGTATCAAATAATTTGGAAGGGGGCAATACTAATTATGTGAGATTTTATACGAGAAAGTAAAGGTTGCATAAGTAATAGAGTATTAAAAATGTCCTTGTACTTCAGAGTTCAGACGAAATGACCAATGGTTTAAATGAGACTCTCTTTCAATCTGAAATCTACGGAAAGCAAATTTATCAACTATCACTTTCATCCTATCTTCCCTCGCCTTATAACCCGTTTGGTCAAGTTGCAAAAATCAGCTTATTTTGAAAAGTATTTTTCCTCAAAAGTGTTTTTCTCAAAAGTACTTCCGGTAAGAAACAGTTTGTATTTGGCTAATTAATTTGAAAAGCACTTCTGAGCAGCAATTTGTATTTGGCCAAGCTTTAAAAAACTGCTTCTAAGTGTATTTTTTTTCAAAAGTACTTTTGGAGAGAAGCTACTTTTTTCTGCTTCTCGAAAACTACTTCTGTTTTTCCTCAAAAGCACATTTTTTTTCAAAAGTTTGGCCAAACAACTTAATTTTAGAAAAAAATCAGTTTTGACAAAAAAAAAATACTTTTAGTTAGAAGAAGCTTGGCCAAACATGCTATTAAACTCTTTGTCAATGGCCGTTGAGAGGGTTTCAGTTGCAGAGTTGCAGCGTGGACCACAATGTATGAAGCCCAAAAAAGTATTGTTTAATTTGATCTGATTGCTGCAAATGTTCTGATTGAATTAGAATGACAAAACTATGACAACATGTGAGACACTAGTTGTATTAAGTATTTTTCTTCTCTAACAATTTTTTGGATCCAGAATTTTGTGAATCCAAAAGTATAAAATTGGAGTTCACAAATTTGTAAGACAAAAAGTAATCTCATACAACGAATGACAGTTGTACGAGACACACAATAAAACTTCTCCTTAGTTATTGTTATACACGTAGTATTTTACTTAACACACAAGAAAAGAAATACGTTTCTCATATGTTACTCAATATCTAAAATGGCATTTTAATGGTTTAAGTTAGTACAGAAAT